CTTCTATTCCTTTATACTATATGTCTTTCTTCAAGCTTCCTCGTTGGGTCATCCTTGCTATTGACAAGATAAGAAGGAATTTCCTTTGGGGAGGTAGCTCTCAACCATCTAAAGTCAAAAGTCTAGTTAGATAGGATATAGTTTGCAAGGATAAAGCTGAGTGGGGTTTGGGGGTTAAAAATTTGGACCTCTTTAATCAAGCCCTGCTTTCAAAGTGGATTTGAAAATTCTTAGATAGAGAGAGCCTCATTAGTAAAATCATCTTTTTCATATATCCATCTTCTCATTCCAACCCAATTGCTAACCCTAAGAGCTCTGCATCTAGGCTCATCCTTGATCTTAAGGATATATACCCTACTTTTATCAGTTTTGTCAGATGGATAATAGGGTCGGATGAGTCATGTAAGTTCTGGTTGGACAGATGGGCTGGGAATAACTCTCTCAACAGTTTATTCCCCAAAGCCTACAAATTGGTCTTTTCTTCATCCAGCTTAGTCAACTCCCAGGGATCCTAACAGAATAACATATGGAGATGGAACTCTATCCTAAGAAGAGGCATCACGATGGAAGACAAAAAGGACATTGCTGATCTTATCTCTTTCATTGATCAAGTTAGACCTGTTCAGAGCAATTTAGATGCTATATCCTAGCCCTATAATGCTTCTAATGCATACTCGGTGAAATCCCTATTTGGCATACTAAATAATGGTGGTACAATATCCTCTCTTCACAACTTCATCTGGAAATACCCAATGCTAACCCTAAGAGCTCTGCATCTAGGCTCATCCTTGATCTTAAGGATATATACCCTACTTTTATCAGTTTTGTCAGATGGATAATAGGGTCGGATGAGTCATGTAAGTTCTGGTTGGACAGATGGGCTGGGAATAACTCTCTCAACAGTTTATTCCCCAAAGCCTACAAATTGGTCTTTTCTTCATCCAGCTTAGTCAACTCCCAGGGATCCTAACAGAATAACATATGGAGATGGAACTCTATCCTAAGAAGAGGCATCACGATGGAAGACAAAAAGGACATTGCTGATCTTATCTCTTTCATTGATCAAGTTAGACCTGTTCAGAGCAATTTAGATGCTATATCCTGGCCCTATAATGCTTAATAATGGTGGTACAGTATCCTCTCTTCACACAAACCCCCCCCCCCCCCCAACCCCCCTCAAGGTCAAAACCTTCCTATGGATCCTTAGCAAGAAGAAACTTCAAACCAAGGATAATTTGATCAAAAAATGATGGACGGGGGATTATTTTGCCCTCTGTGTAATCAGGTGTTGGAAACACATGATCACTTGTTCATTTCATGCCCTGTATCCCAAGCAGTTTGGTCAATTTTAATTCCATTCTTCTATCTCCAGGCTCTGGCCGCAGAAGGTAACCAGATTGATTTCTGACAAAAATGATTTCTTGGACAATCGACACCTACAAATTATTTGGAGGATTTTGTTCCCTTGTACCTGCTGGTGCATTTGGAACAGTAGAAACAATCTTATTTTCAACAATATTCGTACTTCTTCTTCTTCTATTGCTGCTAATTCTTCCCGTTTTGTACTAAACTGGACAGGGGTCTCTAAAAGCAAGCGAGCTCATCGAATGTTTAATGCAGCTATTAACATTGGATTGCAAGAGATCCCTAATACAATCAGAATGATGTTGTTGATGGAAACTTCTCATAGGGGAAGAGCTCTCAGCTAATTTATTCTCGGCTCCTTTTGAGTCTTCATAGACACTTTCTTTTGAAGTGGTAGTGGATTTATAGACCTCTGTGTAATCGAATACTTCTGGTAACTTCTGGCTGTAATGTTTTGGGTGGTGCTTGTCTTTTGGATTTGGATAGGTTAGTAGGATGGAATGGTGATTTCGGTCAGATTTTTTCTTTGTTTTTACCTAGATTTCTGAAGACTTGGAAGCTCTAAAGCTACGGACTGGAGGGTAACAACATAGGTAGTTCAGCTGTTCAGGTATATTTTTGTACATTCATGTATACTTTTGTACATTCTGATTGATATATACAGTTTTTATGAACATGGCAACTCGCCTGTTCCTTGCTTCAAAAAAAAAAACAATGCCAAGCCTATTATATTGAGCTAGGTTATCCAACATACCCATACTATCAGCTCAAAATTAAACTTCGGGATCTGAAATTGAAAAGCTAAACTACTTGATGTTATCTATTATCCATGAAGTATGTAGAGACAAAATTTCAAAGAATGTCAATGCATTTTGAATCGTGTATCAACGGGCAGAAGTTAAAGTAACTTTACAAAAAAATTTGTAATGTTGATTACAACAACAAATTAACATGGATAAATACATCAAAATCCTTCAAAATTTTATTTCCGAATAATTTATACTGAGTAGATCATTTCCAATAATTTGAATTTGCAATTTCAGAATCCAAATTTTAAATTTAAATCGATAGTATCCAGGTACTGAATACTATTAATAATAACGTAGCCCTACTCTTTACAATTAATGTAGCTCGTCATACAACTCAATTTCTTTAAGAATAACGATCTTGATACCCACAGAATTTATGAGCAAGCTCTTCTTCAATAAACGGAAAAAAAAAACTTGAATTATTATGTACAGATCGAACACAGACTAAGACTACAAGTAACCAAACAAATCATATTTATATATTCTGACTAGAGCATAAGCAAACAGATCTTATAAACATTTGTTATTTCTTGAATGGAAGACACCGTAGATGCTCTGTTTAAACTCAACAAATTTTGCCATGAACATTTCTACATCAATGTGGTTTCCTTTCCCAAACCAACTTGTGCTTCTATGTAAGAATCACATGAATGAATCCTGAATGCAAAAACCATGTATATATCTGTTTTCATGGGAGAAAATACTCTTAACAAAGGTATCCGAATAGTATCTACATGTGCATAAAATTCTAACATAATTATTTGTTTTTTATATCACTTTAACGATGATGTAAGATTGTTAAAAACGTTCATAATAAATATATACAGCTACATTGTATTTTTGTACATATACAAGAAAAGTTTGGCACGCGATTTAGGCTCGTGCAAACAAGAAGTAACTCTCCAAAATCCAACAAAAACAATCTACGCAGCACAACGTTAAACCAAAAAGCTATACCGAAACAAATAAGCACGCACATTTCCTGGCTCTATTCTACAAGTTTGCTCACTTTAGAGCAGAAGAACAAATGCAATTTTATTTTCACCCATGAGACTAACTTCTAATCTTCACCCTCTAATTCAAGCACTAACAGCAATAGAGTACAACAGTATATAAAAAATAAAGAAAAACATGAAACAAGTTGACATATATAACAGGAACTTCAAGTCTTGAGAACTTCTACCGACAATGTTGGATGTTTACGCTAACATTTAATTTATGTTTTTCAGTTTTCCCAAGCACCTCGTTGGTATAAATATATGCAAATCATAGATTCTTTTAACTTCCTTGTTGGATTAATGCTTGGAATTGCTAGGTCTAAGTACAATTTCTTTTAGGCATGACAACTGTTTAAGTTCCTCCATTATATTCTTTACACAAGTTGTCACCTCGTTTTTTAGTCCACTGCTTTGCTTGTAGATGCGTAGTCAGTCTTTTTGGTTACAGAAATAAATTAGCTTTGAAAATATTTGATCTAATTAGCTATGACGGATGTAAATTGATTTCACAGTCACAATTTGTAGCAAGATAACATTACAGGAGAAAACAAGCCAAATAATCGAAAAGGACTTAGAAAACAAATTAGAAATGGACTGGAGAAACTATTGAAAATATACAAGTTCAACCTTCTGATAATAGAAGTTAAAAAGGACAAATACAAATCATGATAAGTTTACTACAATCTATGTTGATAACAATTGACTGTTCATACAATTTTTCAGGCGACCAGTATCCCTTCACTTTCTTGTTAAATTTTGGTTTTGAGGTCCGCTACAATTGAATAATACAGTTTACACTTACCACTGAGATTGTAGCTAATGTAAGCTCCTACACAACCAAATGTCTAAAAATCACAAAGACTGCTAATCAAGATAGAGGTAACTTTAATTCAGGATTATATGCAAAGAACATGCTACTGAGGAATTGAGATCATAACTGAACGAGTAGATATAATAGAGTAGGCAAAGAAGAATGTTGATTATGACATAGACAACGATAAGTTGTGACTGTGATTTTAATAGATAAGGTGGTACGTAGTAAAGCTAAACAATTAAAGAATTCATGTTGGAAATCCGAAGTTTTGGGAACATATTTTAACATGTAAGAAGATGCAATTTGTCACAACTCCTCAAGTAATCTGTCTGTTTAAAATAGGTATCTTCTTGTTGGAAACCACCTTAACCATTTTACAAAAAACACATTTTATTTTCAATTTATACATAAACCACCTCTAAGGTGGATTTTGTTCCAATCAACCACCTCCTAGCCAAACTTTATTGAAAAAACAAAAATAACATTAGAAAATGCAAGTTTAAGGTACGTGACTTGTATTCTAACTACACTTAAACATTAATAAAGTAAATCATGTGTTAAACATTAATAAAGTAAGTCATGTGTCCTGAATGTGAGTTTTCAAGGGTATTTTTGGGTTTTCAGTGAATTTTTTGACTTAGTGATGGTTGGAACAAAAACTACATATAACTTGAAAATTGACTTTTGAGTTGGTTGATTGCGACAAAAACTACATATAACTTGAAAATGAAATCTGGTTCAATTAAACGACCCTATTTTAAAAAGTGGTTTGTTTTTTGGGTGGGGGGGGGGGGATTTAAATATCCTCATTGATGTGGATAGTGCCGAACAAAAACTACATATAACTTGAAAATGACTTTTTTGGAGTTGGTTGATTGGCGACCCAAAAACTACATATAACTTGAAAATGAAATCTGGTTCAATTAAACGACCCTACTTAAAAGTGGTTTTTTGGGGGTGGGTGGGGGTGGGGAGGGGGAGGGGGGGAGGGGGAGGGTTTGGGGGGATTTAAAATATCCTATTGATAGTGGATAGTGCTGAACTATCCCAAATATCCAAGCACATATTTAATAACTTATTATATATTAGAATATACGAGAACGTAAAAGGTGCACGTAGCTAAAAAGAACTTTTACATTAGCATATAGATTAAACATGGGGGTTGAGTCGGTTGACCTCATTTTTCCTTCCGAACATCAATCAAGTATCTGAACCAGATACAAATCTGAACTTATGTTTGTCCAATATGAATATGTACATGACATAATTCATGTTTATATTGTATGAAAGTAAATCACATGCAGACATAGTACCTATTTCAGCTCCACTTACTCTCCTAGTCATGTTCCTCACCAACTCTGCACCAAAATTTTCATCAGGAAATCAAATAGTACAAACATGAATTATTCATCCTTGGCTCAAATTAGCGAAGCTAATTGATAATCACATTTTATTACAATTTTATACCCTCATTATCTATTGTATATGAATAGTCTTTAATTGCAGGTTAATGAAGAATAAAAGTCAAATATCTCTTCTCTCAATAAAGCCCACGAATTAATGAAAAATATCAGCAAAATCCCAAATGCCCAAGCCCAAAGCCAAAAAGAAGAAGAAATGCCAAGAAAATGTCTAAAGGCCCAAGCCCAAGAAGAAAGTTCGGATAGCAACCAGAGAGGAGCTGACATCGATGCCAGCATCGATGCCTGTATCGATGCCAGCATCGATAGCCCTATCGATGCTGGTATTGATACCATCGGGCAGGTAGTTACAGATCAAATACTGAAATTTATTGTTTTTGGATAAGATTTCAATCCAATAGCTCTCATTCACTGATGTTTACTATAAATAGGGGTAGAGAGTGAGGGGTTAGAGGTGTGAAAATTTTTATAACTCCATTTGGAGAGGAGGACCACTCTTAATTGAGAAAGTCTTCCAAATTTGTAACTTTTGTTACAATTAATAAAATATTTTTTTCACCACTTTAAATATTTAATCTCTTTGTTGGATGATGAAGATAGAGATGAAGAATTATTTGGAGGTTTGCATTTCTTTTATTTATTTTTTATTTTTTTTTTATTGCTTATTAGTTTAGATTTATTTCTATACTTGTAGTTAAATTTTATTTTCTTGTTAAATAGCCAAGAGGCTAGAACCCTCTTGCCTTAGATTTATTTCATGCTTGTAGGTTAGATTTATTCTCTTGTATTTAATTCTTGTAATTTATTTTGTAGTTTAGATTTTGTAATTTATTTTGTAGTTAGATTTTAATTTCTTATACTATTCACCTTGAGGCTAGAACCCTCTTGGGTTTAGTTTTTCTTTTTGTTCATTTTTATTTTTTTATTCACCTTGAGGCTAGAACCCTCTAAGGAATCACCCTTTTCTAAGAAGTGAGTTTAATTTTAGATTACTCATATCTTTAATTGAATCCACCATCTTTACTTTCTTGAATTTTATTTTTCATTCTTGATTTTTATTTGTTTCTTGATTTTTCCTTATTGCCTTGTTGATCATATTTATTTATTTTTTTTATCACTTCCACTCTCAAATATATTTATTTACACAATCATTTTTATTCTTTCCATCTCTCCACAATCACACTTATTCTTCACTCATATTTGTCATGCACACAACATAAGAATCAATTTTAATTTTCTCCTACAAAACACATTCCTCGTGGGATCGATAACTTTTTATACTATAACTTGACACGGTTGTGCACTTATAATATTTTTGGTACATGTTTATGCCGCATCAAGTTTTTGGCACTGTTGCCGGGGAAGGTGCTTAAGTAGGATTTTTTATTATTTTGGTTCTTTAACTTGTGTGTTTCTTGTGAAAGAACCACTTGGAGATTAAAGATCAAGAATTGGAGATTGAGGAATTGGAGATTCGCTTGTGGTAAGTCTTCTTCATAATATTTTCAATTCCACACCTTTAGTTAGTTTCTCACAATTAGTGACAATTAGGATTTTTAAAAAAAAAGATTTTATTTTCGTGACCATAATAAAATTCACCTTCTACTTTGACATTTACTAACAAGATAATAAATTCAAACAAATTCCCCCCTTCTTATTTGTTTGATTCTTAATCCTAATTAAAAAAAAAAATTATTTTTACCATCCTTTTTAGTCGCTTTTAATTCATAGGGTTGCATTTCATATATTAGTAGGAATTTACCAAATGATTTGAGCATCTTAATTTGCCACACACTTGAAAATATTCTTAAGGGCAAAACCTCCTAATCAAGATAAGGTGAGGGATTTCATCACCCTTACCTTAACCCAAAAATCATAAATTTCTCACTACACAACCCAAGCCTAATAAAACTCATTAGACGTTGGCCTTAAGGACTCGAGCTCAATAAGGAACAAAAAATCCTTAAGTAAATCGGTTTAAGTTTTCTTGGATTAGTTGGTATCTAAGGCAATGTTTAGGGGTTCCGTAAGCACTCTGCAAGGAACGAGGTACTTAATCGATCTCTGATCAACCTCTGTTCTTATCCTTACCTGGCTAACTAATCGAGTAAAACTTTTATCTTTTCACTTAAGGAGTTTTTGGTTAGGAGCTGGACTAACTGAGTTAGGCTTAACCTTAGAGTTAGAGTGATTAAAAAGTGGTTGGTTTTTTTTATTTTTGATTTGTTTTAGTTAGGTTTTTCCTTTTCCTTCTCATAAAAAAACTAACTTTTGTTTTATCTTAAAAAAAGGTATAAAAAGAAATTATTTTGGGTGCATGCAAAACGTGGTTAGGGACAATACACATCGACAAATTTGTTTTGAACAAATTAAAGAAATGGCTAATCCACATGTTCTCCAAGATTTATGTTATCTCAATAGGATTGAAATCCTTAATGAAGCTCGGGGGTTTGTAGAGAGCCCATCTCAGTATTCGATGAATGATCTATTTTTTTTAACCTACAACTCAAGTTGGGCAAATTACCCAAACATTGCATGGAATCAGGGAAACCACTCCGGAACTCAAAACTTCACTCCCTCTTTGACCTAACATTTTCCTAGGTGAAACGCAGTTCCTTTCAATTCTCAAATTCTCATCCACAATTTCAACAACCCAATCTGTCACATCAAAATCAGTTTCCTCGTCATCAAGTTGTAACTCACACTCCTGTTGATACGGATCATGACGAACGTCTCATTATATTGGAAAAGGGCTTGGAAATCATAATTAAGGCCTCCACTCTAACCACGAATTTGTTGACTCAAACATCCAACACGATGAACTCCTTTATGTTGTCAACTGAACACATTCTTAACTCCAACACTCAAGCCATAACTAGATTAGAAACTCATCTTGATCAACTAGCTAGTGCCATGAGTGAAAGAGGGGAAGGAGAAATCCCGAGTCAAACCGTGGTCAACCCTAAGGACACAGGATCTAGTTCATCCTATGAAACTCAAATGAATGCAACCCATTCACTACAGTCAGAAAAATAGGTCGATAATCAGGTAAGAACACCTTCAAGTCAAACTCTTGTTCTAGAACAAATTGTTTCTCCTTCTGATAACTTAATTCAGGAAAGACTAGAGAAAGAAGAAGAAGAAGAGTCAGATCCAAGTTTTAAGGAAACTTTCGATAAGGAGCTGAAAATATTAGGAGAAGCAGATCAGGTTTGTCAAAATAAGGAAACTGTGTTAAACAATTGCTGCTTTGAACTAAATTTTGAAGAACTCTTTCTTGATGAACTGAAATTTTTGGAAAATAATCAACCAAATTTTCAGAACTCAACCGTGAATCTTGGAGTTGAGAAAAATGCTACAGAAGAATTGGTTGTTAGAAAACAAAATTTCACAGTACAATAGTCGAAGTTTATTAAGAAATACAAAATACATGACACCAATAATACCTACCTTACTTTGTTGCAAGAATTATTGAACACCCCGAAATGCTTGGAATTTCACATTATTGATTATATCATTCTGAATTTGTTTAAAATCTGGGGGAGAATATTCAGCAATAATGTAGGATTCAATGTAGAATACGAGTTCTTCATGTTGAACACTTCATTCTACATTGTTTGTCTTATTTTTTTTAAGAATAATAAAAAGAATTTATTTTTTGAGAGTTTCTTGTTCAGTTGTAAAAAAAAGAATAAATTTTTGATTTCATCCTCCTCAGACCAAAGGTAATTACAGATTTTATCAGCCGACCAAATGTAAGTACTTCACTTCTTATCTACTTTACTTTGTGCATCATAGAATTTGCATTGAGGACAATACAAAATTTAGGTGTGGGTATGGGAATTAATTATTTTTTTCTTTTTATTTTACCTTTTTAGTTGCATTTTTTATTTATTTTTCTTTCTTAAAAAAAATTATAAAAATATTGTCACTTGCCAAATTGATAGAGTTAAGTAATAATTGATTTATTTGATAAATTTAAAACTTTCTAATCCCTAGTTGGTTATTTACTTAAGTTCACCTTTTATGATAACTCTAAATAAATTTCTTAAGAAATGATTTTCAAAGTAGTATACTTTGGGGCTGTTTGGTTGCACACTTTTTAAGAAAATTTTTCTCAAAGCATCTGACAATGGTAAATTTATAATTAAAAGTTTTTCAGAGATTTCTGTAAATTGTGTTTGGTTCAACAAAAAATTTACAGAAATATTTTTTATAAAATATCAAAACCTATCAAATTTTACAAAAAGTAATTTCCTCTCAAAATGTGAGGAAATCACCAAAAATCTGACACATACCATATTTAATTAAAAACCTACCAAATCTTGTTATTTTCTATAAAGTTATGAGCTATTTTCTTATTTTGAACCAAACAAGCAAAGTACAAAAAACAAGAAAATTGGTACTTTTTGATTTCTCAAAACTTTTCCTATAATTTTTTTAAGAAATGCAAGGAAATCATATTTTAGGTGGCAAACATTTCCTATAATTTCTAGAAATTGAACCAAACACCCCCTTTACTTAAGCCTTAACTTGGATTTTTATTTAAAATAATGAAATTTTTGCATGCTTAGCTTAGAGTTGAAAATAAATTTTCAAAGTGTCTTAATTTACATATTTTTCAGAATATATATACATATATAATAATAATAATAGCATTACAAAAGAAGAGTGCGGAAAATGGTCACAAAAAAAACTCTTGAATTTAAGGTGATTCTATCTTATAAAACCTAAGCTAACCGAGTAATTAAGCCCAATGAGTATTTTCATACTTAATGACCTAAGCCCAATTGGGTTGGAATCCATTGGTCCAAAACTCGTTAAATGGTCACCTAGAAAGCCCGTTAAAGTAGAAAAAAAATCACCAATGAAGAAAGAGTTTAAAAAAATTAATAATAATAATAATAAAATACTAACAAATGTTATAGTATATATGGCCTTGAAAAATAATTCTGATCAAGCAACTTGAATATTATTTTAAACAAAGAGTAAGCATGTTCTTTTCAAAATTTTTAAATTAAATTTCTAAGTTTGGCTTGGTTTTGTATTGCAATAATGAGAAGATTTTCTAGGAAATTCACTTTGGAGTTATATATAAAAACGTTTTCTTGAGTAATAACTAGCTTCAATTAGATTGTCTAATTTTATCAAGTAATTTTAGTTATTTACTGACCTCTTTAAATTGGCAAGTTGACCGAATTTTGTGGATATATTCACTACAAACCCTCACGAGACTACAACTCGTCCACTACGGTAACCTAGGGGTTTAAAGGCTTGTTGTATGCGCTAAATACAACCGCGATTCCTGCGAAAGTGAGTTAGGATTTTCTTTTTCTTTCTTTGCTAGAGGACTAGCAAAAGTTTAGGTGTGGGGGTATTTGATAATCACATTTTATTATAATTTTATACCCTTATTATCTATTTTATGTGAATAAATATACCACTAATAATTATTTTTATCTTTAATTGTAGGTTAATGAAGAATAAAAGCCAAATATCTCTTCTCTCAATAAAGCCTCACTAATTAATGAAAAATATCAGCAAAATCCCAAATGCCCAAGCCCAAAGCCAAAAAGAAGAAGAAATGCCAAGAAAATGTTTAAAGACCCAATCCCAAGATGAAAGTTCGGACAGCAACTAGAGAGGAGCTGACATCGATGTCTACTATTAAATTAGGGGGTAAACTATTAAATTAGGTTAATGCTTACCCTTGAAGTATTTTCAGTCCTACTTACCCTGTAAACAATCAAATTCAATTCCTAGCTTACCCTTGAAGCATTAACCTAATTTAATAGTTTAGGGGGCCAAGTGAGACAAAATATAGTTCAGAAGGTATTTAGAGACAAATTCAATAGTTCACGGGGCAAGTAGGGGCTGGAACCTTATAAGAAATATGCTCGTGTTAAAACATCTTTAAGATTATGTATTTAGATAATAGAGGTAAGGAAGCATGTGCAGTATAAGATTATTCAGTTATCAAATATTTGCTCCACCGAATAATTCAGTTTTGAGGCTAACCTCCAGAAAGACCATCTCTTTGATAAGCTTTTCATGATCAGCAAAAGTCTACTTTTGTATGACGGTTGCTGCATTACTTGAAATCAGGCATTGTACTCTCTAGTTCACATAGAGGGAGGCAACAAGCTTGAGGCAACAACTGCGATTTACGAAAATATCAGCAAAAGTTTAAAAGAAAAGCATTATGTTAGGAAATTCATATGATGTAAATAACAAGCATAAGATATTGCAAATAACTAAAGCAGTTTAATATTCTCTTCATTGTGCATAAATGGGTAATAGAATTTACAATTTTGTCATAATAGTGTGATACACTTAATGGTGTTCGACACTAATATGGACCTCACTAATGAGTCAGAGAGGATTATTCATCACAAATAGGCTCTTGACACAATTACTTAAACATTGGAAGCATTGGTTAATGCAGGACAAGATCTACAAGAAAATGGCAAGAAGTAATATATAGTCAACATCACTTGTTATCAACTCATGTAAAAAAACATAATACTTTTCCACATTTGAGGCCAAACTTAAAAGGCTTTGGAATGGGTAGAGTCAATGAAGAAATGGCGAGAGAGTACGGGAAAACAGCAAAAGAATCAGCCAGGCAGACTGGCAGTCGACCGTCACGATCGACCGCAAACGTGCACAAAGGCCACTAGGACTCGGAGCTAAAGACGGTCGACCGTGATAGTCGACCGCGGGGACCCTGTAGGCGATTATCTCTCGGGAAATCAGTTCGGTCGACCGCCACGGTCGACTGTAGGATTTGGTTCTCTGTTGGGGGTGTTCGGTCGACCACGAGCTTCGTGCGGTCGACCGCGAGACCTGCGCGGTCGACCGCCGCGGTCGACCGCAGTCTGTTTTTGGGCTGGGCTTTGGATTTTGACCCGGTTCGCTTCTGAGTTGATATATAACCCTAAACCTGATTAATTATGGTTAAGCAAAGACGATTTTGAACAGTCTTTTGGAGAGGATTGCTGCATCCAATTGTGGGAGATTTGTGAGAGATCTTGAGCTTCGTTTTAGGGTTTGATCGGTGAGATTTGTAACTTTATTCGTATTCTCTTGATTTCTAATAGTAAGAACTCTCCCCTCCTTGCCCCGAGGACGTAGGCAACTTGCTGAACCATATAAATCGTTTGTTCTTGTTGTGGTTATGATTTGCTTATTGATTGTGGTTTATCTCTTGGATAGTTCGTGTCGCTCCTCGAAACTTTTGTCGCGCACAACAATTGGTATCAGAGCTTTAGGCTTGTTCGAAGGATTCGGTGAAGATTCCTATCTGAAGAGTTAGATCGACAACATGGGAGATGCAAGCACATCAAGTTCGTCTCTTACGAAGGCAATACAGAGTCTGATCATCAATAACACAAAGATTGATGTTTCGAAGTTCGACGGCAAGATCAATTTCGGATTGTGGATGTGTCAGGTAATGGACGCCTTGGATGCATAGAATTTGGAGGAGACTCTTGAGTTAAAAGAGAAACTCGCTGATATGGAGGATAATATTTGGAGGAAGATGAACAGTAGAGCTTGTGGTGTTATTAGGCCATGCTTGACGCCAGATCTTATTTATGATGTTATGAACGAGACGTCGGCGAAGAAGATGTGGAAAACACTCAATGAGAAGTATCTTACGAAGAGCATTGAGAATCGGCTTCACTTGAAGAAGAGGTTTTACCAGTTCAAAATAAAGAGGGGAGTTTCCATCAGGGAGCATGTCAACAATTTCAATAAGCTACTTTCAGATATGACCAATGTGGACATCATAGTTGAGGATGAAGACAAGGCGATGTTACTTCTATGTTCGTTGCCCGAGGATGATTATGGTACGTTCATTCTCACTATGATTAATGGAAGAACTACAGTTAGCTATACGAATGTGACCTCAGCTTTGGTGAATTATGAGTTGAGGAAGAATGATGGTGAACCCTCCGAGAAGGCATCGGGAGATGCATTAGCAGTTCGAGACCGAGATCCAAACCGTCGCCAGTTCAACCGCTCAAAGTCAAAGAATAGGAGTGCCTATAAGAGTGTTGGTAGAAATCAATGTCGGTATTGTAAAGAAGAAGGACATTGGAAGATTGACTGCCCAAAGTGGAAAGAAAAAACTAGAAAAAATAAGAGAAAAGATGCACAAACTTCAGAAGTGAATGTTGCAAAAGCTATTAGTGAGCATTCAGATTCTTCAGGCTATTCATGTCATGCATTACCGTCAGTTTGTTATGCGGATTCCACGGAGTGAATGATAGATTCGGGAGCTACATATCACATCTGTCCTAAGAGGGAGTGGTTCTCTAGCTTTGAGGAGTTGGAAAGAGGGAATATCGTGCTTATGGGTAATGACCACGTATATCCTATTAGTGGTATTGGTTCAGTCCGGATTAGAATGCATGACGGTGTAGTGAGGGAGTTGAAGGAAGTGAGGTTCGTGCCGCAGTTGACGAAGAACATCATTTCTCTTGGGATTTTGGAGGCAGCAGGATATCGAGTGATCTTAGAGGATGCTACAGTGAAAGTCACGAAGGGCTCTATGGTGGTGATGCGAGGTGTCAGGAAAAATAACATATACTACTTGAAGGACAAGACAGTTACAGAGGGTATGACAGCTTCTATCACTACAGAGGACACTACCACTCTATGGCACATGAGATTTGGACACATAGGAGATAAGTCCCTACAGTCATTGGCTAAACAGGGGCTACTGAAAGGGGCTAAGACCTGCAAGATGGAGCTGTGTGAGCATTGTGTACTTGGGAAGAAGACTAGAGTGAAGTTTGACACCGCTGTTCACAACACTCGAGGTACATTGGATTACATTCACACAGATGTTTGGGTTCCTTCCAAGAACACATCTCTTGATGGGACCAACTATTTTGTCACTTTTATTGATGACTATTCCAGGAGGAATTGGGTATACCCTATGAAGCATAAACATCTGGTCCTGGATATTTTTGTGGAGTGGAAGAAGAAAGTGAAGCTGCAGACATGTAGAAAGGTGAAGACTCTACGTTCAGATAATGGTGGAGAGTACAAAAGTGATCTGTTTCTGTAGTTTTGTCGGGATCACGACATTAGAAAACACTTTACAGTTCGAGAGGCACCGCAACAGAACGGGGTGGCTGAGAGATTGAACCGTACCTTGCTGGAGAAGGTGCGATGTATGATGACGCAGAGTGGATTGCCTAGATCCTTTTGGACTGAGGCGTTGATTTATGCGAACCATCTCGTGAATAGGTTGTCGTGTACTGCGATAGACGGGAAAACTCCTTTGGAGCGTTAGTTTGGTTCGGTGGCTAGTGACTATGAGTCGCTTCGAATATTTGGGTGTCCAGCTTATTACCATGTCAGTGATGATAAATTAAATCCGAGAGCGAGGAAAACAGTCTTTGTGGGATTTAGAGATGAAGTCAAAGGCTTCAAGTTATGGGATCCACAAGATAAGAAGATAGTTATTAGCAGAGATATCATATTTGATGAGGCGTACATGATGAGGCATCGAGTCCCTCATCAGGTGGAGGGAGACCAGAAAGTTGAGATATCGTAGCAGGTAAAGGGTGATGTGACTCCACCCACTCCAAAGAGTATTGTATCCATCGAGACTCCTACAGAGATGACACTGGGAGGAGATGAGATGACAGCCGGACAGATTGAGGATACAGTGGAAGGTGAGACTCAGGAATAGGGTCATGTTCAGGGGTCCATTACAGCAGATAGACCGAGGAGGGTGATTCGTCGGCCAGCTAGGTATAATGATATCATGGTCGCATATGCATTATCAGTGGAGGTCATTGATGATATGGTTCCATCCACATTCAGGGAGGCAGAGTCTAGCCCCGATTCGATCAGGTGGAGTGAAGCTATGGAGGAGGAGATGCGGTCTCTTCAGAAGAACAACACTTGGACACTTGCACATCTACCTAAGGGTAAGAAAGCTATAGGTTGCAAATGGGTATATGCGAAGGAGGGATCTTCTATTGGGGACATTCGATTCAAAGCCAGATTGGTTGCCAAGGGATATGCACAGCTTGAGGGCATTGACTACAACAAGATATTTTCACCCATTGTGAAGCATTCATCAATACGGATTTTATTGGCGTTGGTGACACAGTTGGATTTGGATTTGGTCCAGATGAATGTAAAGACAGCCTTTCTACACGGTGATTTAGATGAGGAGATCTACATGACACAACCTTTAGGATTCAAAGCTACAGGAAAGGAAGATTTGGTTTGTAAGCTGAAGAAGTCTCTTTATGATTTGAAGCAATCGTCGAGACAGTGGTATAAGAGATTCGACAGCTTTATGATTGGTCATGGATACACGATGAGCTCATATGACCCATGTGTTTATATGCACAAGCTACAGGATGGTGAGCACATATATTTGCTTTTATCCATGTGTTTATATGCACAAGCTACAGGATGGTGAGCACATATATTTGCTTTTATATGTTGACGATATGCTTATTGCTTTGCACAAGCTACAGGATGGTGAGCACATATATTTGCTTTTATATGTTGACGATATGCTTATTGCTTTCAGAAATTCTTCGGTTATTCGAAAGTTGAAAGAGGAACTATCATCCGAGTTTGAGATGAAGGATCTTGGAGAGGCAAAGAAGATATTAGGTATGAAGATCGAGAGAGACAGCGTGAAAGGGAGTTTGAAACTTACACAGAAAAGCTACTTACAGAAGATGTTGAAGAAATTCAGCTTTGATGGTAATGCAAAAGCAGTCAGCACACCATTGGCTCCCCACTTCAAGCTTTCAGCGTTGATATCACCTGTTTCAGTTGAGGACAAAGATTATATGTCAAAGGTCTCATATGCCAGTGCAGTAGGTAGCTTGATGTATAAGATGGTGTGTATGAGGCCAGATTTGTCACAGGCCGTGAGCATGGTATCGAGATACATGCATGACCTCGGAAAGGGTCATTAGGAAGCCGTGAAATGGATTCTACAGTATGTTCGAGGCACCGTGGATGTTAGTTTGGTGTTCCAGAAGGATGAGAAAAATGGACAGAATTGTATTGGATATGTGGATTCAGATTATGCTGGAGATCTTGAAAAGCGTCAGTCCACTTCAGGTTATGCTTTTACATTGGTAGGTACACCTGTATGTTAGCGATGTACACTTCAGTCCACAGTGGCTCTCTCTACTACAGAGGCAGAGTATATGGTAGTAACTGAAGCTGTGAAGGAAGCTTTATGGTTGCGTGGATTATTGAAGGACTTGAGAATTGCACATGAGACTATTCGGGTATATTGTGATAGCATGTCAGCTATCTATTTGGCGAAGAACCAGGTTTATCATGCGCGTACGAAGCACATCGATGTCAGATTCCACTTTGTTCGTGACGTTTTGGATGATGGAGACGTCATATTGGAGAAGGTCCACACGAACGACAACCTTGCAGATATGTTGACCAAAGTTATTTCAGGAGTGAAATTTGATCATTGTTTGAAGCTTTTGAACATTCTTTAGTGTTGAGGCCTTTGGAGGCCATTTGGGTGAACTACGTTCGGCTTGATTTCTTGAGCAAGAGGATACGTAGGCAGTCTTTCAGATGCAGCCGGTTTTGTTGATTCAGATTGGGGGAAGATCGCGTTTCAGCTCTAGTTTGGTTCCCGGACCTGTTGCAGAACTATTGGATGATTTGGTATCGGCTCAGTTTTGGTAGAAACATTCACCGAGGTGGAGAATTGAAGAAATGACAAGAGTACAGAAAAACAGCAAAAGAATCAGCTAGGCAGACTGGCGGTCGACCGTCGCGATCGACCGCGAACGTGCACAAAGGTCACTAGGACTCGAAGCTGAAGGCAGTCGACCGTGACAGTCGACCGCGAGGACCCTGTAGGCGATTATCTCTCGGGAAATCAGTTTGGTCGACCGCCACGGTCGACCGCGAGTTTGACTGTAGGATTTGGTTCTCTGTCGGGGGTGTTCGGTCGACCGCGAGCTTCGTGCGGTCGACCGCGAGACCTGCGCGGTCGACCGTCGCGGTCGACCGCAGTCTGTTTTTAGGCTGGGCTTTGGATTTTAACCCAGTTCGTTTCTGAGTTCATATATAACCCTAAATCTGATTAATTAGGGTTAAGCAAGGACGATTTTGAACAGTCTTTTGGAGAGGATTGTTGCATCCAATTGTGGGAGATTTGTGAGAGATCTAGAGCTTTGTTTTAGGGTTTGATCGGTGAGATTTGTAACTTTATTTGTATTCTCTTGATTTTTAATAGTAAGAACTCCCCCCTCCTTACTCTGTGGACGTAGACAACTTGCCGAACCACGTAAATCGTTTGTTCTTGTTGTGGTTGTGATTTGCTTATTGGTTATGGTTTATCTCTTGAATTGTTCGTGTCACTCCTCGAAGCTTCCGCCGCGCACAACAGTCAAAATCTAGCATAAATTAAGGACAAAATCAACTAGTAATATAAAGCAAGACGCCTAAAGTAGCGACAATATCAATAAACGTTGACAATGGAACCTGACCATTCAAAGAATCAAAACCAAAGGCTGCAATGCAATCTTCAGGTTAGTTGAAAATGAATGTTCAAGTCAAGTCATCCAAAACTGAAGACGATATCTGGAGCGGTTCGCATTTAGTGGATTTATGGATTGACAGTATGTCGCTGCATAGAAGCAGATATATTATTCTTTATTATCAATAAAGTTAGGCTCAGGCCTTCTCTCAGGAGAAAAGGCGATAAACAACCCTGTAAGCGCAGGATCGGAACTATATGTCAAGAATGAGATATGGAAGCTCCATTCCTCATCCATCTTTTACATTCTTTGCCTATAGTTTCTATTTCTGTTCCCTATTTCATCACAAACCCATAGCTACATTAGGATTCTTTATGTGCGTGCGCGTGTATCTAGATTTTTTTCTATGATTTTTTTCCCAAAAATAAGACTCTTCAGAATTCTATGATAGACCATCCTATATATGATTCACACTTTTCATTTTTGTTCTACACCTCAAAATCAGTTTAAGAATGAGAGTTTAAGTGACTATGAAGCTTTTATCCCCATCAATTGGTTGCAAAAGCACATTATTTTAGTCATGAAAGGAAAAAATATTAATTTTGCAATGGATAAGAAGTATTGGATTCTCTTTAGCTCTCATCTGAGACTAATGACGTGTAGATTAAGAGCTACGAGTGCGGGCATGGGATATCATTAGCAACACTGCACTCTCGTTAATATAACAGAAAGATGTCACTTTAAATGGATAAGATAACAGCATAGAGGAATTTGGTTCTACAACTTCAAATTTAACCTTAATATTGAAATACATGCAGAAATTCTGTGAACTATAGGCAACATAACAGAACTTAAATTATTACTGTTAGCGGAATACTTCTGCATAGCATAAAAAGATGAACCTAATTTTACATCGAGCTTATATGTGAATATGTGATTTTATAATTAAATCTAGGACAACAATTATTATCTCACAAACAAATGGAAACATATCATTGAAAGATGGTGCTAAATAACTCTTACGAGAAATGTCAGAGGCTGAAATTTTAAATATTTAAAATCATATTACATAAAGACTGTAACTAGTTTTTACCCATGATTATTATTAGAAAGAACAAGGAGAAAGAGATGTACCACTTGATCACTTATATTTTTTGTAAGTATTGCAGTCATTGCCTCAAACCTGTCGCCTCCTTCTATGCGAACTACAATGTACAATCATATAATTTAGTTTATGCAAATTATGAAGTTAACTTGACCAAAATCAAGGTTAAAATATTTTGAAGTTAGCATATGTAAAAAGTATGGAAATGGGTGTTAAATATAAGAAAAGTTCAACAGCCTTAAGTATAACATGGTGCCTTCTTCTCTGGATAAGTTTTTAGAGTCAACCTATCCAAGTGTACTACACTTGATGATTAAGTTTTATATTTGAAATGAATGCTTATATATGTTCTGAAGGTCCATCGAATTTATGGAGGCATAAAGACCCAGGATGAGGAATTGGAAAGAAAAATTAATTCATGTTCACCGTTTGCCTCATCTAAATTAATAGAGATCTCTAATAGCTCCATAATTTGATCTACGTCCTCTTCGTCTCTTAGTATGTCATCATCTTCCAAGCCAAAGTTCAATGTGCACAACAAAAGGAAATGTGGCCATTTCTCATGACTTTTAAAGCATTCCACTGTAAAGTTATGGACAAAATAGCTTCTATACTCTCACTTCTAGACAAATAACTGAATAAGCTTATTTAATTATTTACTTAAACTGAAGGTTCCTTGGAAGGTGCAGCTCTTTTAGCTTCATCTGATTTTTTGAAGGAAAGCTTAAAAGTTTTCAACTTCCCATCTTGGACGCTTTAGTGTCATAAAAAACTAGAATTACCTTGTCTTGCTATCTCCTAGGCTATGTGATAAGCTTCTTCAGCAATTGGAAGTCATGAAACTCTACTTCTCTTTTTATCTTTGATCTAAGTCCTTTACAAACCTATACGGTGTGGTCATTGCTTCCTTAAAAGCAATCTGTGCTCATTATAGTCCAACATATCTGCTTCAGATTCTTAATCGACCAGCTGATGTGAACAACATAAGAATATTTTTCCCACAATTCGCTTTCTGTCCAGCACTTGTGGTCAGTATCTGCTGTCTCTGTCTTTTTACACCATTTCTGGACACCTCTTTGCATAACCACCTAGCTTCAAGCTATTTAAAAAAAATGCTTGATGAACATCTGACATCATGAACCATTCACAATGATCCTTTGGTTCACCTAACGAATCCAAAATGCGTCTGGATCCAAATTCCATAACATTATAAACTTTAACCTTTACTTTCTTAATGAACTCAAATGGTCTTGATGATACCTATTGTACACATAAGGATGCCATCATGAAGATCTCTTATAGTTTCCATCTCGGTGACTATCATGATTCTACAATTGACTCTGACTCCTGTCATCCTCAAAGGGGTCGTTCTCCAAATTTTCAACATGATGCAGCCTATTATCCTCAATTTCATTTTGGCATAGATTCCTAAGCTCCTTAATTTGTTGTAAGTAAATTGGAAAATTAAATCTTATATTGAACTTTCTATTAGTTCGGACCCCTCTAACCTCTTGATCACAATGTGAGTTTCCTAGTTCAACATCAATCTATCCTGGCCTAACTGAATTGTCTCTGTTAATTTTACTGGTTTTTCCCCTTTTGATATTTTATTTCAAATAAAGTTGTAATGGGAGTCTCAAATATCTGATATCATAAACTTCCAATATAAAAATCTAACTACTCTACATAGTATATATAGGAATAGCATTCATTAAGCTACAACTAACTAAAATCGACATCCAACCAAAATGTAGATCTAGTAAAAATAAGATCCTCATCTATGCAAACACTTCAATACAATATAAAGAACTATTTAATCAAAAATATTTAACTAAAAAGTTATCTGCAGATAATTTCTAGTGCATCTTCAATGCCTAAAATCCCTACAAGGATTACATGGGGTGTCCATGTCTTGCTTCGAGAGTTTTGTCAGAGTTAAGCCAATAGAGAGCTTCTCTCAGACCGATTCAAGTAATAGGGCTCCAGTATGTTGGGAGAACACTTACATAACAATCTTTGATAAAATGAATCTCTCCCTCTTCTCCTTTGCTCACGAATTTAGACCGTGTCAAGCATTATTCAATCTTCAGTATTTTCTTGGTCATTCATGTGCTCATTTTGTATGACTCGTTCTCTGCTTGTTCACGTAATAATCTCTTACTTCCACAACAGAACGAAAAGCTAAAGGAATATTAAAAGGAGTTATTACCCAACAAGGACAGGGTTTTCCATAATTTTTTGGCCGAGATGTTAAGAGTAATGGTGTGCTTTGACACTGCCCTCGTAAAAATTGTTCCAGGCACATTATTGAGATTGCTTACTTACGAATGCATATGACCTTCGAATGAAAAAATAATAAAAATAATAATAAATAATCACATATGTCAGCCAAGCTTTCTAAGTTTTAAGATATGACATTTCCAACTTCATGTTATGATGAAACCTAGAACAGTACCTATGTGTGTATCTCCCTGTAAGTATCTCCAAGAAAAGAAAACTGTGTTTTATTAAACCGTTTTCTTCCCGAGGTTTTCACATTTTAATTGAAATCTCATTCGCTATACATTCATCCTCACTGTGCAACCCATCCCTAAGAATTCAACCTTTGCATATATGAATAAAACACATCAATAATCTCCATGCATCCAGTCTATCCCTAGCTGCAATCATGACAAGGGTTTTTTTCTCCTTCTTCTGGGAAGCAAATGACAGCTATTTATGGAAGTGTTTTAGGTTATTGCATGATTTCATGCTCATTTCCCTCTATTCTATAAATCTAATACGTTGTAATCACTCTTAAACTGTGATAATCAATATACCAACAAATTATTGCCCTGGCTCCAAAATCAAAGGGTTAACCTGCATCTCTTTGGTTTTAGATCTAATCAAATTGGATAATACTACAATTAAAGAAAATCAAACAGTAGCAAAGTCAAGAGAGCAATAATTGAGAAAATTAATATAATCATCAAGACGAATTCTCACCTGTACAAGCTTTGGTTTCTAACACAAGGAGAATCAAAAGGGAAGAAGAAAGATGAAAACTTTATTGGAATGAGGGTGGGAGCCATGAACAATTCCATGATTCAATCTCTACCAAGGGCTCCTCTTATTATATTGTTGAATATTCTTTTTATTTTAGCTTTTTAAGCAAGAGGGACAAGTCGACGAAGGCCTGATGAATTGTTTAATCAGGGGTAAAAATGCAGAAAACCCCTTCATTTTTATTCGATTTTCATTTAGTTATTTTTTAATCTCTTTCCCCTCTTAATTAAAAAAATATTATTCCAATTTTATATTTTTTAATTTTAAAATTTAAGATGACATTTTGATCTCTATCTTCTCCCTCATTCATAAGGAATAAGTAAAATCCGGCTAAAAGTAATTGATATTATTAGTTAACCAGAAACAATCAACTTGTAAATTTAAAAATGATAAAGAGAACGATGGATATCATATACTCTCTTTAAAAGCATGAGTTCGGAAAAATCTTTTGGTAGACAAAAATACTATTGAAATTCAAATACTAATCCATTAAGTAAGAGTGAGTTGATAAATTGATGAATTCTTATTAGATATACATAGTATGAAGATAAGGATATAGTTTAAATTGAAATATAAAAATCTGAATGAATTTATTAAATACCAAATTTATAAATGTATACAAGATGAAGGGCATATATGCAAAAACCAAACAAATTAGTGAGACAAACAATGTCTGCTCTAGAGGTCGAGACCAGAAACAGCACAGACCTACAAATGTACATAATGTGGATGGGGTATTTGCAAAATGTACCAAACAAATTAAAGAGACAAAATCGTTCTCAAAATTATAAAAAAAGTAAAATTAAAAAAACGGCTACAATATGAGGGTACAACGTGGCAATTTCTCACCAGCTAAAATTCAAATTGTTCACGGGATTGCATAATTAGTTTTAAAGATTAATTATACTCTTATTAATTAAATAGAACTCTATTTACAATTGTTATCCTCTCACATACCAATGCATATAAGCCAAGAAATTACAATAATTTCCATAGCATTTTCATCTCCTTCTACAGATATATGCCTTTGTTATTTTCTTCTTATTATATTAGATTAGATTATTTTAAAGCAATTAATTATATTGTATATTTAATCTTTTTTCATATCAAGAAATATCATTAATTTTTACAGTCCTTTTATCTATTTTCTTCTTATTAGATTAGATTAGATTATTTTTAAGTAATTAATTATATTGTATGTTAATCTTTTTTCAAATTAAAAATTATAATAATTTTCATAGTACTTTAATCTCTTTCAACGGGTATGTACATTTGTTATTTTTTCTTATTAAATTAGATTATAGTGTTTAAAAATTAAAAATTATAAAATTGCAATAATTTTCACATCATTTTCATCTATTTTCTTCTTATTATATTAGATTATATTATTTTAAAGCAATTATTTATATTGTATGTTTGATTTTTTTTCAGATCACAAAGTTTAATTATACTATTATTATTTAAATAGATATTATTTGTATAAAAGTCAAAGAGAATCTTACACATATTTTAGATCTTAATGCCAATTATAATATTTACACATGGGTATTGATTAAAATAATTTCATGTATGGGCTTAACTTATATAATTCTATTTTAACCGGATTAGATAATTTAATTTTTTTAACACACTAACTCTTCCACAAAATCAAAAAGTGAGTAGCAATGCTATAGCTATATATATTCACATGACTATAGATATATTGAAAATGAATGAAGAAAACCACACAAATAAAAATCATATTAATTGTAATACCCCAACCCTTGAGAGGGTGATGTGATTAGTATTGATAGATTTGATTGGAATACTCATACCACCAAGATGCATATTCTTTTCGGAAACCCAATTCTTAAAATCTCCAAAGTTGAGTTTAAGTGGGGGGGTATGTAATACCCCAACCCTTGAGAGGGTGATGTGATTAGTATTGATAGATTTGATTGGAATACTCATACCACCAAGATGCGTCTTCTTTTCGGAAACCCAATTCTTAAAATCTCCAAAGTTAAGCGTGCTTGGCCTGGAGAAATTCTAGGATGGGTGACCCCCTGGGAAGTTTTCCAGGGAACGCGTGGGTGAGGACAAAACGTGCTGAAAAGATATGTGGTGGTTTGTGAGGTCAGTTCATCAGATCTAATAGCGTACCGGCTCCGGGATTCTGGAGCAGGGCGTTACATTAATTACCCACACACACCCACTATTTTCAGAACCACCCTTCTCCATCTCCATCTCTATTTATAATATATCCGCATATCAAACTAAGTTGCTGGAGTTTCTCCTCACCAACTACAAGATTGATCAACCCGTCTTTTTTTATTGTACTTAAATTGTATAGCATTCATTGCAATGAGGACTCACATGGGCCCAAAAAAAAAAAATACTAGGCCTTGTAGTTAGTTAATAATAAGATCCTATCATTATAAACAAACTAAGTAAAGATTAATAATTCTTAAGAATGTACTACGTTCCCCTAACTTCCACTGCAAACTTGTTAGTTATTTATTCCTGACCCCAAGAGATTTTTAAATTTAATCATCTGTTTTATAAATTTTTAAAAAATATTTAAATAAATTTTATGACAAACGTAATAATCCATGTTTATAGATTTTAACTCAAAATGAATCTGACTTCTTTTATAGTAAGAAAACAAATAAAAAATTTATTTTGATATTTAACCATGTACATTGCTGCACGTGCACAAGAATTAGTACAAATAAAAATCACAATTAATAACTTAAAGATTACTAAGAAAATTTGATTATGTTATCATTTCCGTTAATAAATAATATTAACATATTATCATCATATTATTAGTATTATTATTGATGGTACCACAACTATGATTAATGTATCACTGCCCCCACACATTATGAGGTGTCAACAGCTAAGTCGAAGCACTTATTACATCTCTTGCTATCATCACGTTTATTTGCAAATAGTATGATTAATATACATATTATGTCTTGATAATATCAAATATAGTAAACCCACCGTTCTCATAAATACTAATGTGATTGCGAAATGAATAAAATGTTGTGCGCGTGGAAGCCACCAAACCTATGTGTTTCGAGAAACCAAACCAAACAAACACAGAGAGAAGACCAAACAAACCAAAAATAGCGGCATAAACAAAAACAATCCAATTTTTACGTGGTTCGGCAAGTTGTCTACGTCCACGGGGCAAGAAGGGAATGACGTTTTTACTAATAGAGAAGAAGAGTACAAACTGAGATTACAAATCACTCGAACTCACCAATTAATCTCACCAACAAATCTCTAATTCTCTTTAAATAAAACTTTAACCAATAGTTCAGAAAATATCTTTTTTCTGTGCTCCAAATATCCTCAATTCACTGCTCAATCAAAGCCAAAGAAACTCTAAAACTTGTTGGTATTTATACCAAACACCAAATCCCAAAACAGAATCCAAATAAGAACTCAAACTGTGCAGATGACCCGATATAAGTCGACTCATCAGAGGCTACAAGTCGACTTGGCAGAGCGAAAAACACTAACTGGAGAACAGATTATAAGTCGATTTAACAGAGGGCACAAGTCGACTTATCATAAGTCAACTTAATAGTCGCCATAAGTCAACTTGACCGAGCGTAAAACAACAATTTCAGAACAGAACGTAAGTCGACTCGTGCACAGACATAAGTTAACTTACCATAAGTCGACTTATGCATGTACATGAATAGACTCATGACACAAAATCTGGTTTTTCAGATTTCTCCACAAAAAATATTGCAAAAATGCCAAATCCAATAAACTCGGAGAAAGTTTTGTTTTAAATGTTGTAGGTGGGCAATTGAGAATGCCTCGTGATCTGAGATCACGTGCAATTATTGAGAGAAAAATAATGAAAACTGGAATATACATATATATATAATTCTTGGAAACTGGGGAACCCAGAGAAGAGTCTGATTAGCCCATAACTTTCAACACTTTATTCTAATAATCCTCTAAGTTTTATTTATTTGAAAAATAAGCCCCATCTTTCTGTTCCATTCTCTCTCTTTAGCTCCCAAGATAAAACCAAGTCGTTTTCTTTAACCACATGTAAGCGAAATTATGTCAAAAAAGATTAAATTGTAATTTGGGGGGTTTTTCTCCAAACTATGGTTTTTATTGTGAGGGAGAATCAATCACAGCGAAGCCATCGGACAATGGAATAAAGATCGTCTTTAAATTTGTTTGTCTCATTTTTTGTGATTTCAGCGAACTCATGCTGATCGATACGGCTGCAAAGCGTAGGTTATATACAAAATTAATATGAAAGTTTGCAAATTTGATTATCTTGATTGCCTATGATCGTATAGAGCCTTTGAATTTTTTAATGTATTCAAAAATTTATTGAAGTTTGGAATTGATAATACACACTTGTCTAGTTTCTTTGATGTATTTAATATGTAATGTAGTGATTTTTTGATCAAATCACAGAAGGCAATCCTCATTTAACTAAACTGACAAAACCATATAAGATCTTTCATTAGATCTTTACTCATTAACTTTTGAGAGGAAACTGCTATTTTCAAAGTGAAATGTAAGATTGATAAAGTGAGAAGAGAGATACATGTCTGAGATTCTAAAATATAGAAATTTAGAAATGATAGTTATAAATGGGGAGCGAGTAGTTTTTTTTTTTGTCAATGAGTATTTTATTCATTCAAACCAAAATTGAGAGTTATGTACATCATGATTCTCATAGTTGAGAAATCTAAAAACAAAAAAATCACTTACAGCCTAGGGATAACCCCACAAAAACAAGTCAAAGTCTACAAAGAATTAATCCAATCCCTGTTTTCAGATTGAATAGGACTATTTAGGACTGGGATCAATATGTCCATCTTAATCTCATTAACTAGCTGTTCGAACCCTTTTGAACTCTGTGAGAAAATCCTGGCATTTCTCTCACACCATATTTTGTAGAGAGTAACCGAAAAAGCCATCCTCTTGATCCCCTTCATGAATCTTCTGCCTCTTAAACAATTGTTGAACCAATCCAAAAGGTAGCTCCAACTACAAGATCTCCATCTAAACTTGAGCCAACACATAATTTTGTTCCAGACATTCTG